AGGAAAAATGTGTACACCAGACTTCCAATGACCAAAGACTTCCGAAGAATTCCAAAGACTTCCAAAGACTCCCAAAGACTTCCAAAGACTCCCAAAGACTTTCAAAGACATCCAAAGACATCCAAAGACTTCCAAAGACTTCCAAAGACATCCAAAAACTTCCAAAGACATCCAAAGACTCCCAAAGAATTCCAAAGACTTCCAACGGAGTGTACACCAGACTTCCAAGGAGATTTACCCCTCGCACATTTTTCACGATTATTCCGAAATCTGACACATCGCATGAATATGTTTTTATATCTGACTCCTGACTCTCATAGAGGGCGCTAGTTACACGGTTCGTACCGAGTAGTTTTGAACATAACTTTTTTGAGGTTAGATTTTTCAATCCAAATATGATATGAACTTGAACATATTGATATTGTGGATAAAGTCAAGGGTAGATTTTCTGCAAAAAATTAAATAATTCAATTCTGATTTTATGGTATAGTTTAATTATTCTATTGGCGACAACTAAGCCAATCATAATATTAATAATATCGAAGGATATACTTTTTCAAGATTGAGCAATCCAAAATATAATTCAGTTTTTTTAAATTCTTTTCGGTAAAAAATGAAGACTTTTCCTCTGCATTTGCTCGAAACTAAAGGGACTGTTGAATTAATCTGAATAAGGCCTATACCAAAAAAAAAATACGAGGTTGTCAGAGAATCATTTTTTATCACGCTGTCAATTCGGAACATGACGGAAAGAAGAAATATAATTATTCTATACTCATGTATTAATTGAAGCTACCAAGATATTTACGATATCTACAATATTTTCACAGTATCAATTATTGATATTGTGAATTTGGTTTATTCGGTTCCCTGTCCGTTCCAACGTGGATCTGGAAAACTAATCATTCAGTATTTTTCCTCGGTTTTTTCCATACCCAATATAGTAGGCTAATAAAATTAAATCGAAAAAAACCGTTTTGAGGAATTAATTTCCAGCAAACTGGAAATCGTTTTAATACCTCTATTTGGTCCTAAATGCGTGTAATCTGAGTTTGCACCATGTCAGGTGGTGAGCTTAACTTTTGATAGCCAAAAAACCGCCACATTTTTGCACTTTTTTTATTTTTTTGCTTATAGCTGCAAAACGATGCGTCGGACGGAAAATGTTATTCCATTCAATAATACAGAGGACAAAATTCTGCGTCGAATGACATCTAAAAACATCAAATTTCGTTCAGAGGTATAGCCGAAATCGAATGTTAAAAAAAAGAAAATTTCGTAGTTCGGTGCAACTCGTGCGCGAAATACTTTGGTGATTTCGACTATTTTTTAACTTGGCTGCGCCTCGTTAAAAAAATCAGCTCTCGATCACCAAAGTAGCATTTCGCGCACTAGATGAAAAATAATTATAAATTGATGCAAAATTTGGGACCGAAGCTGAACCGGGCATTCAGATATCCGGATAATTGGACAAATCAAGAAAACTTAAACATTTGGAAATCTATCTATATAACGTAAAATTTTATTTTCTACAACTTTTATTTTATGGGTTTTTTCAATAGGAGTATCTGTTTTCACGATATGTCGTCTTGGAAAGCCGCAAAATGTAAGCTTGCACCGAACTACGAAATTTTCTTCTTTTTTAAAATTCGATTTCGGCTATACTACTAAACGGAATTTGATGTTTTCAGATGTCATTCGACGCAGAATTTTGCCTTCTATATTATTGAATAGAATGACATTTTTCGACCGATGAACCATTTTGCAGCTATAAGCAAAAAAATAAAAAAAGTGCAAAAATTTGGCGGTTTTTAGGCTATCAAAAGTTAAGCTCAACTCCTGGAATGGTGCAAACTTAGATTACACGCATTTGGGACCGAATGAAGGTAATTAAATGATTTCCAGCTTGCTGGAAATTAATTCCTCAAAATATAATTATTTGATTGGCCTATAGTGAGTAAATAGTATATTGTTTAACAAGCACGGAATGCTAGTGATTTCCTACGAGAATGAAGTTTGCAGCATGAGCCATAGGCGAATGCTGCAAACATTCGAGTAGGAAATTAGCATTCCGTGCAAGTCATACACTATTATTTTTCTACGGCTATAATAGATAACAGGGGCATTTTCCATTTATTCGGCTTGTAGCCATCTGATTTCCTGTCCTATCAATTAGACAGAACTTCCATTGCTCGAAATTTGACATTCCATTGGCGATGAGTTTTTTTTTTGAAATAATAACACAAAGGAGTCATTGTGATATCAGATACGGAAATATTATTGATGAACACAGTAAAACAAGAGCAATTTTCTGTTATAGCCGTAGAAAAGTATGCTATTATATCATGGATCGTGAATATCATGGTATTGATTGGAAATATTGAGATACTAACGATTTTAACAATATGATTCACACTTTGATATTGTGAAAAAAGTCAAGGGTAGATTTTCGTCAAAAAATCAAATTATTCAATTTTTTTCCAACGGCTATGGTCCGTACGTTTTGAGATACAGGATATCAAAGTTTTCGAAAAAAGCAAGTTTTATCAGATTCTGAAAATCCTCTTTTTGATTTTACGGTATGATATAATTTAAGCCCATTATAATATTAAAGGATACTTTTTCTAGATCGAGCTATTTTAAAAATACAATTTATTTTCTTCAAATTCTTTTCGAGAAATAATACTTTTCCTCTGCATTTGCTCGAAACTAAAGGGGATGTTGTATAAATCTGAATACAGCTTATACAAAAAAAATACGAGGTTGTCAGATAATAATTTTATATCTTGCTCTCATTTTGGGACATGAAGAAAAGACTCATGTATTCATTGAAGCTACTAAGATATTTATATCTACAATATCTTAACAGTATCAATAATTGATATTGTGAAGTTGGTTCATTCCGTTCGCTGTCAGGTCCAGCGACTATTTCACTCATCACATTTTTTTTTACCTCTTGGAGCGCACGAAAGAAAATTCCTAGAATGCTCGTGGTCTTCTTTATCTATGCTAGGAAGGATAGGGAGAGGAGGTAGGTTTTGGATTTTTTTAAATACTTTTGGAGGTTATAAGTTCTTGACCAATCAGCCAGACACTTGTGTTATCGCGAAAACACTTGCTTTTTATCAATTATTCTGATTGGTCAACCATCGTTAGTTGTTTTCAACAATACAGGGTGTTTCACAGGTAAAGGGAAATATTTCAATGGTAGATAGGGGTCACCAAGGTGGTTCTGAAAATACCATATTTGATAGGTCTTAGAGTTTTCATAACGGAGATACAGGGCGATTTATCGATTTCGAATAATTATTCATTCGTCTATAAGTATTGAACTACCCAGTATATTTTTCTAAAATTTGGTATGGAGCTCAAACTTGGGACGTTGAATTCATTAACCTATCGGGAGAAGTGAGAATCCAGGTTCGGATTCAGGAAAAATTTACATTTATTCGAAATATTAAAATAACACACTGTATGTAATAATTGACAAAGTTCATCAAAGGAATCGTGAAGAGGAGGAGAAACTGAACTGGATTTGATGCTTCTTGTTTTCCCGCCACCAATTCTAATCGTAACAATATCATAAACAGAAGGCTAAAAGTATGCCAATTTCAAGAGTATTAAAATCATGAAACCACTTTCAACTATGATAGTTTGATATATTCTTGTTAAATGATCGTTCGAAAGAACTTACTTAGTTTCACAGTCTTTATAACAGATACAGGGTGAATTATCACTCGTCCATGAGTATTGAACTACCCATCGCAGTAATATTTGGGACGATGGATTCATTGACCTATCAGGCAGAATGGAAATACAGGTTCAGCTTCAGAAAAAGTCTCATAGTCTTTTTAACAGAGATACACGGTGAATTATCGAATTATAATTCCGCTTGATAGGTTAATGAATCCATCGTCCCAAGTAAGCTACATACCATATTTGAGAAAATGTTACTGGGTAGTTTTATACTTATGGACAAGTGAATAATTATTCAAAATCGATAATTCACCCTGTATCTCCGTTATAAAAACTGTGAGACTTAGTAAGTTCATTCGAACGATTTTTTGACTAAAATATATCGAATAATCATAATTGACACTGGTTTCATAATTTCAATACTCTTCAAATTGACATACCAGCTTTCTGTTTATGATTATTACGATGAGGATTGGTGGCGGGAAAACGAAAAGCATCAAATCCAGTTCAGTTTTTCCTCCTCTTCACGATTCCTTTGATGAACTCTGTCAATTATTACATACAGTGTGTTATTTTAATATTTTGAATAAATGTAAATTTTTCCTGAAGCCGAACCTGGATTTTCTCTTCGCCCGATAGGTGAATGAATTCAACGTCCCAAGTTTGAGCTCCATACCAAATTTTAGAAAAATATACTGGATAGTTCAATACTTATAGACGAATGAATAATTATTCGAAATCGATAAATCGCCCTGTATCTCCGTTATGAAAACTCTAAGACCTATCAAATATGGTATTTTCAGAACCACCTTGGTGACCCCTATCTACCATTGAAATATTTCCCTTTACCTGTGAAACACCCTGTATAAGCATGTATAGGGAAGCAAAGTCTGTCAGTTTGGCATAATGAATCGGTCATTCACAATGAATGCTTTTTATGCTTCGTGAACGTGAAATAGTCGTAACAAAATACCACCCTGTTCTGAATATCTCCTCATAATTCCGTCTTTCATTGTTAACCCAATTGTGTAGCAGCAATGAAGCGGATTTTCAGAATATCGTGAAACAACTTATGATAACACAAGTTGTCTCTGGCTTGTGATTGATATTCAATGTTGAATTTAGTGCAAAAACGTACTTTTCCACGTATTTGCAATATCATTGAAAGTTTTATTAATATTGTGAAAAAATCACAGGCCCCTTGTACGTACTGAAAGAAAATACTCATATTTTTATTTATTGAAACTCAGAGAAAACTCAAAAAACCATTGACGACACAATTAATTTTATTCATCTCCTTATTCCTTATTTCTTTGCACTACTAAATGACTGTCAAAAAATCAGACTATCGATATCTCAACGGCCGTAAATCTTCACCACGAATCTGAAGCCCTTCGAGTATTTCGATGCGATTCGGATCTTGGCGTACTGCCGGCCTATCCCTCCAGTGACGAGGGTAGCTTTGGCGGTGTTGCCGTCATAGAACTGGTTGTAGGCCCTGATGGCGGTGATCGTCTCGTGTCTCAGATAACCTGCAGGCAGGTCGTTGGGGTATTCTATCACTTTCTCCCTGTATGTCCACCAGCGGCTCGGTTTGTAGTACGTCTGAAAAATGGCAATATTATAACGGGTTGTAGAAATAGTGATGAAGGGCTTTCACGCTGGGTTGATAGTGACGTCAATATGTCAACACATACAGTGTTGCCAGTTGAAAGGAAATGACTGAATGACCAACCGCCCGAATATGGATATGTCTAGTGTTACGAACGTCGGATGTTATAAAGTTTCTTGGAACCAACTCAAAAGCCGTCCATTTATGTTTCAAAATCAGCACTTGAAGTTGGTAAATGAACTTCAATATTTGTATTTGATGAACCATGAACCTGAACAATATACTGAATATGAAATTCAATGATAATGAAATTTTTATAAAGAATAATAACTTGAAGAATGATTTATTATATAACAACATCAACAAACAATCACAGATATTGACATTAAAAATAACTTATTTTTCTACCAATACACAATTATGTCTTGAACTTATTTTTTTCAATAAAACTGATCAGTATTCACATTTACTGATTGAAAATAATAAAAACTTCGAATTCAATTTTGAGGTTATCTAATCGTTCTGAATGTTTTTCAATTACTTTAAATTGGTGAAATGAAATAGAAATTCGATCAATTGATTTTATTTCGTGGGAAAATAAATAGTGGTGCATCTACTTATATTGGAAATTAGAAAATAGACAACAAGAGTTGTTCTTACTTCAATATTCTCAATATAGTTCAAGATGGCGGATCCAATATATCGGACTAGTTTTGTAATTATGGCCCGATTCTATTCAAAATTGGTATCTGGGGGTTTTCGGGATCGGAGATTATGATTCTTTCGTCAGAATTTGAAAATTCGGGCGGAATTTGAAAATTCAAGATGGCGGAACCAATATGGCGGATGAGTTTTTCAATGGGCGTGTACACCTTAGTAGAACTTTTAACTCAAACCATTTTTATAATGATCCTTTTATACATAAATAATGATTGACGACATTATTCGATCGAAAAATTAACTAGAATGTTTTATTTTTGGACATAAATAAGAGTACCTTCTGAAAACGGACCCTCTTATGACGTAGAAACCTCATCTCGCCATAGTTAAAAGAAAATACCAAACGCCCGACGGAAACTGAGGCAACTGATATGTTAATTCTTTCAACTGTGATCTCGCGCTAATTCACTCTGTCAGAAAGCATGTATCATTCATCTCTGTCTGGAATGGTCTTGTTTCACTATAAGGATTTTGACGTCACATCATCGCCTCGTTTTCAGAGGTCCGAAAAATCGGGGATTTCAATAATTTTGTATTAAACGTAGGGAGGGAGCTCACAGCAAGAAACGTTTTGCGATGGTGAACTAGTTTGGGTGAGTTCTATCAAATTATGAAATAAATTTTTTTTGTGATATAAGCCCATTATAATCCGATTCTTCTCGAAATTGGTACCTAGGGGTTTTCGTGATCGGGGATTATAATTCCTTCGTCAGAATTGAGAAAATCAAGATGGCGGATCCAGAATGGAGTTTCAGCTTCAAAATGAGATTTTAAAAATAGGTTGACAAGTGAAAAAGTTATTACTGCAAAACCAGAAAGATAATTTTTTGAGATCCCTCTGTAAATAAAAGAGATAAGAAGACGATTTGAAAAATGTCCCTAGGTAATGAGATCATCTTCATGCCTCTGCTGTCGAAGTTGCAAAAAAAAAGTTTTTGTTCATTTGGGATCCTTTTGAAAATTCCCAAATTTTTCAAAGTTTCACATGACACCCTGTAGCGATTTTAAATGAACAACCTCGAACTGCATGTTTTAAAGAAGAACCAGATTATAGCTTAAGGACTGGGCTAGCGAACAGTGTGATCCGAAATCAAATCGTTCGAAGCAGAAAAAAGTTATTCATATTTCAACAGAGGCAACATTTTGGGGTGCGACGAAATCAGTGTTGATTCATGAAGTCATGAGTCCATTGGACAAACTACAAGATTTGAAGAATGAGTTGAGTTTGGAATGATTATCATTTATCACATATTTGCTAATTTAGATATTCTATCAAGAAAAAATCTAGCCAACTTATAAACAAAAACCATGTGACACAGACTCATGGTATACCCTCTTTTCTCCTTTGGTGTTCTAGTGTCTTTTCTCCTTTGGTGTTCATTTCAGGAATTTTTTTCATCTTCCGGACTTCCTGGAAATGACATCAACTTTCAATTTTCAAATGGAACACCCTATATTTTATTCCATAATCCGTTAGGGATCATTATAACGAATTCAACAATAACGGTTTTTTATATGTTCTGGTTCCCACGAAAAGGGATATCCTGTAATGTTCAGAGAACATCGTGAGAACAAAGGGAAATATGGTAGGAATTGGCGTTTTCTTTGAATTTCTGGAGGTTATATGCCTCGGGGAACACCTCCCTTGGTAATGTGATCCAGAGCCTCGCTGTTCGTTGGATGAACGAGTCTTTGGAAAGAGATGTTCTGCAGGTCTCCAAAGTGACCACGAAGGGGTGCGAATCCTCAACTCGACGGGTTAATCTCGCGGGGACTGCCAAGGGAGGAACAATTGTTGATATTTCAGAAGAGCATCGTCCATGAAAATATCTATAAAATAGAGCCAGATCGCCAACTTTTCTACGCTGTCCCAGAGAAGTGAGTGAGTTTGTGAGCGAGGTATCATCCACGAGACGAATTGCCTTTTTTTGGACAGAGTCCAACAGTTTCAGGGTTCGAAACTCATAGATTGTCCCAATGGCTCCCGTTCGTTTTGGTCCCTTGCTAAAGCGGTCGGAAGAAATTTCACTAATAGTTCATTTCCACCACTGTCCAAATCCGACGGCACATTAGCAACAACATCGCAGGAGAAAGCAAATATTTTTGCAGAGACGTTCGCAGCAAACTCTACTTTAGATTCTCAAGGAAAAGTGCCGCCAGACATTCCACCGGTTGAGAGTCGAATGCCCGAAATCGTCTTCCGTCAACGCACTATCAGACGAATTTTGCTCTGTCTCAAAACGAATAAGGCTAACGGTCCTGATGGAATTCCACCCATTATCCTCAAAAAATGTGCACCAGAATTAACACCGATTCTCTGCAAGTTGTTTACCGTCTCGTACAGGTCGGGTATTTTTCCATCATGCTGGGGGACAGCTAGAGTCCAACCAATCCCCAAAAAAGGGAACAAGAACCTGCCCAACAACTACAGGCCCATTGCCCTGTTACCAGTAATCTCCAAAGTGATGGAGAAAGCCATCAATATTGAGCTTATCAAATATCTGGAGAGCTCAGGAATCATCAATGATAGACAATACGGCTTTCCCCACCGAAGATCTACTGGAGATCTACTTGCCTACGTCACCCATTTATGGCAAGATCCATTAGAAAAACACGGGGAATCTCTAGCTGTTGCGTTGGACATATCGAAAGCATTCGACCGTGTTTGGCACGAAGGACTCCTCCACAAACTACCATCATACGGCTTACCACCTCAGCTATGCCTTCTATTATAGAGTTTTCTTTCAGGCAGATCGCTTCACGTGGTGGTGGACGGTGTATCGTCTGATACCATTGGCATCAATTCCGGCGTTCCACAAGGATCAATTTTGGCACCAACATTATTCCTTCTTCATATCAATGATCTGTTGGGAGTAACAACTTGCCCCATCCACAGCTTTGCAGATGATAGTACCCTCCATACTGCGTTCTCTTCCAGAATTCCCATTTCTTCCCAGGAAACTAAGAACTCACGGCGCAGGCAGGTCAATGCTGTCAATGAAGACTTTGCTGAAATCACAGCCTGGGGAACCAACAACCTAATTGAATTCAACGCCACAAAAACTCAAGCCTGTATTTTCTCTAGAAAGGCGGAACTCAGTATGCCCGACATTGTAATGTCTGGTACCACCATCCCCACCAAGCCCACTATATCTATGCTCGGTATTTCCATCAGCAACACTGCAATTTCATGGGATAATCATGCCAGATCCATCGCAAAAGCTGCTTCACAAAAACTCGTATTCTTGTTCCGTGCGAAAAGCTACTTTACACCTCAACAGCTTCTCATGATCTACAAAGCGCAGATACGGCCTGTTCTAGAATACTGTTCCCACATATGGGGTTCAGCACCAAAACATACGCTGATGCTCTTAGATTCCATCCAGAGAAGAGCCATTCGCCTGGTGGGTGACGCCACACTCACTCACTCTTTGACATCATTGGAACACCGTAGAAAGGTCGGCGACCTTTCACTTTTCTACCGATACTTCCACGGGAAATGTTCTTCGGAAATCTCTGCTATCATCCCTTCACTATCAATACCAGTCAGGCGAACTAGACAAGCCCAGTCAGCACATCATCTCGTTGTCAACCTCGAAAGATGTCGAACAGCACTTTATCAAAACTCCTTCATCCATAGAACGGCTAGGCTCTGGAATTCATTGCTTGAGGAAGTATTCCCAACAACATATAATCTCCAGAAGTTAAAAAAAAATTCCAATACCTACCTCCTATCCCTATCCTCCCTAGGAACGCACGATGTTCTTTGACCATTATAGGGATTCCCTTTCGTGTTCTCCAAGCGATAAAAAAAAATAAGGTATGTTTGGGTGCTGCACTCCATTGTCAATGATGTCAAGCTTTCCTGATTATTCCACTTACCTCAACAAACAGCAAACGATCGTACGAGGTGATCGCTCCCAAAATCAAGTTACCGTCCTCAGTACCATTTCTGGAATCATTCCTGAATCCTATGGGATAAGTTCGGTTATTGTTGGGGGCCTGGTAACCGTTATTGTAACCATTATTGTAACCGTTATTCGCTGGCTGCCTGACGTTGGTCTGGTTGTATATCGAATAATTACTTGCTAAATGCGAGCCGTTTATCGGTACAAGAACTTGTACAGGGCGATAGACAATTTGGCACTGGAAGGCACCGAAAATCGAGATCAGAATGAGGGCGCTACTGAGCGGTATCGCCGACATTTTGTCGTTTTATTTTTTTCGTGTTGCCAAGATCTCGTAGGTACAGGTCTTTATATTTGTTTGAATGTTTGCTTGGTGCGTGATTTGTATAGAGATAAGCAATGCAAATGTTTTTTGAGAAGCTTGACAGGGGGATGTTTGCGATAATATTATCAGGGTGTCGCGCTATGGAATCGTTTCACTTTTAATCTGACCAACTCAAATAGATCATAGTACCTATCAGAATGAGAAAAAATACCTTTTTCTGCAACCGACACTAAAGTCGTCCATTTTGATACCAAAATTAGCTCTTAAATTGACGTTCCTATTGCTGACACAAAAATAGGTATGTTGCTAGGCAACATATTTAGTTCCTAGGAGCTAAAGTTGAATTTTAGTTCCTAGGAGCTAAAGTTGAACGTTAGCTCCTAGGAACTAAAAAGGATCTACTGTACGTCATCAAGAATAAACAACATTGTGACGTTTGGTTATTTGGGTTGAGACGCATACCTGATTTGTTTCCGATTTCAGCAGATTTGGCATTGCATACCCATGCCTGAGATATAAATACACCTTATTATAGTTTAGTATTGGAATCATTAACATCTCAGTTAAGTATTTTTGTTTTGATCAGGGAAGCCTTCAAGATTCAAATTCTTGCTTGATCTGTATTTCATTCATTCTCGGGATGGATAACTTGTTTTTGAATAATCACGGCAAGCAATAGTTTTTCTGTCTCAGCAAACAACGATATTGTTTAGCTTCATTTGATTTTTAAGTCAAGTAGTATGGAGAGGAATAAATAATCACTATTATCATTGTTGATATGCTCACTAACCTAACATTTTCCACGTCTTGTTCCTATAGCTGGCACTGGCGCGGTATTTGCCATTAGAGCACCTGGTCCATACACAAATATGTCACTCGGTGGTTGTATTTATATTGAAACTACAATTCGAACATCCTAGAAAACCTAACCTGCTGGTTATGCAGGTGGTATATTCTTACCACATGGATCATTTGTCAATATTTGTTGCATTGCATACATATGGCACGGCATTGGTGGTTACTTCACATGTTTATTTGAGTTAATTGTTTCGGTTGCAGAAAAAATAGCATGTTTCATTCGGATCAAAAGTGACTTTGTTCGACTCGCAAATTTTGCTTTCGCTCGGCTTCGCTAAACGCTCCGCCTCGCAAATGCAAAATTTGCTTGTCAAACAGTGTCACTTTTGATCCTAATAAAACAATCAACTATTTTCTACGATCTTACAAAATATACTACTGTTTGCACTCTTTAGTGTGCAATAGCAATTTACATTTCAATGTGTCGTTAGGAACCTAAATTAAGTTTTGCAACACACATCAAGCTTTTTTTGTGTAAATAATGAATATATGCGTCGTTCAAAATTGTTGAATTCAATAGCTCATTTCAAACGTACCATCATGGCCGCCATTTGGCGATACGTCGAATAAATGGTGACGTCAGATATTTTGAAATAAAATCTTCTCCTTAACCAACTTATATCTTTTGAACCAGCAATATTTCCATAAGGAATGTTGGACTAAATCTTCATATTTGGGTGTTTACTATCTGTAGTTCAGGGATTTCCCATTCTTAATGAATCACCCTGTATATAACATTTACCTGTGGAACAACAAAGGTTTTTCAAGATCGATCTAAGAATCAGGACACTCTGTATAGTCATTTTCGAGTGTCTGGTTTTTTGATCTACCCTATATCATCGTAGTGATATACATTGAATGAATCAGTGTTTGCAGTCATGATTATGAAAATACATCACTTTTTCCTAATTTATAAGTCGCCATAAATTACCTTCAGTTTATTGTTTGATTAAAAAAATATCAGATTTTAATCTTTTCGGTGAAAAGTGAACAAAATATACATGGAAATGTTAATTACTTTCTTTGAGTCATCTGGAATGCAATATTTTTATTTTAGATAATCAAATAGATAAAAAAAATGAGATTATCTAGATATGGTCATGGAATGGAAACGAACTACTGTGAATTAAAAAAAATATTGGACCCAACTTTTATTATGTACGTGCCTTACTACTCCGTGATGATTGTGATCCATTTTGCTCCTGGTTGGTTCGAGATAATTACCTTATAAAAAGATATTCAGAACATGGTGGTATTTTGCTTGACTATTTCACGTTCACGAAGCTTCATAGCATTTATTATTCTTTTTTTTTTAATGTTCTGGTTCCTACGGAAAGGGACATCCTGTAATGTTCAGAGAACATCGTGAGAACCAAGGGAAATAAGGTAGGAATTGGTGTTCTTGAATTTCTGGAGGTTATATGCCTCGGGTACACCTCGCTGTTCGTTGGATGAACGAGTCTTTGGAAAAATATGTTCTGCAGGTCTCCAAAGTGACCACGAATGGGTGCGAAGCCTCAACTCGACAGGTTAATCTCGCGGGGACTGCCAAGGGAGGTACAATTATTGATATTTCAGAAGAGCATCGTCCATGAAAATATCTATAAAATAGAGCCAGCTCGCCAACTTTTCTACGGTGTTCCAGAGAAGTGAGAGTGAGTTTGTGAGCGAGGCATCTCCCACGAGACGAATTGCCCTTTTTTGGACAGAATCCAACAGTTTCAGGGTATGTTTGGGTGCTGTACTCCAAATATGAGAACAGATCATAAGCAGCTGACTTGAAGTGAAATAGCTACTGGCCCGAAACAGAAAACCAAGTTTTTGGGATGCACTTTTAGCAATTGATCTCACGTGATTTTCCCAAGAGAGGCTATTGCTGATAGTAATACCAAGCATCGAAATGGATGTCTTCAAAGCTATGGTTACTCCTGACAAGCTTATGTTGGGCACAGTGAGTTCGGCTTTTCTAGAGAAAAAGCATGCTTGTGTTTTGTTTCCATTGAAATCTACCAAGTTATTGGATCCCCATTCGAGAAGTGTTGCCAAGTCCATATTTATATTGTCAACATTTCTTCCTCGTTCGTTTCTGATTTGCCTGGCTGGTATTGGTGCCCTGAAAGAGAAGACGGTATGGAGGGTACTATCATCCGAATTGATCCTTGCGGAACACCAGCATTTATGAAAAGAGAGTCAGATGAAACTCCGTCGACCACTACATGGATAGTCCAAATAATCCGTTTTCTCGAACTATTTTTCCATTCCCTTTTTTATTTCAAAACCATGATACAAATCTTGTTGTTTGAAGGAATAATATCATTTTATATATAAGGTGTTTCCTCCTTCCGGTACGAAACTTCAGAGGGTTATTCGTTAAGTTGTTTCTATGAACACAATGATAGAAAAATCTAAAAACTTCACAAACGATAAGATTTACACAAAATTCTTAAAGACACAACATGTTTCGCTAACACTGGTACAATGAACAAAACCAACCTTGGCTTGCTTAACTTTTATATATCCTACTTTCCCAACTTGAATGATTAGTTACCTGTGGGCAGGTTCGATAAACCTTCATTTTCGGAAATTGGGCACAATATCTACATTAAAATACGGTGTACCGGGTTAACTTGAAAAGGTTGATAGCAAATACATATGGTTACCTACTAAGAAAACAAATTCAACAGTGGTGAACTATTGAGGTCTAATTGATCGTTAGGAGAAATGTCAAAACTTTTGAGTTTGTTGATTTCTAATGATTCAAAATGATTGAGTTCCATTCCTTCATTTTCTACGTGTAGAATTTCTGAATTATCATCAAAACTATGGTTTTCTTCTAATAATCTCTGGTAGAAGTCCATGTTTGCTCAAAGTGTAGTGGAATTTTTAAAGGAGGAAGGAAAGCTCTAAGTCATCTCCACAACTTTAATATTGATGTAGTTATTCAACGGGACATGTTTCGAACTTATAAAAGTCCATCTTCAGCCGTATTTTAGAAATCACTACAAGTAAAGGCATGTGAAAATATACAAAATATTATAAGAAAAGATTGTCTTACATGGAGGTGAACATTATTCGTTTTAACAAAGTTGTCGATGCCGATGTCTCATCATAATATCATTGATAATAATAATAATAATAAATAATTGGAAGGAATAAACGGTTTTTCATTTAAAATGAAGGGCCCCGTGCCCTGAGAACGCGCACTTGTAATATAAAATCAATTTTATTCCTTCCAATTATTTATTATTATTATTATCATTATCAATGATATTATGATGAGAGACATCGGCAACTTTGTTAAAACAAATAATGTTCACCTCCATATGAGTCAATCTTTTCTGATAACATTTTGTATACTTTCACATGCCTTTACTTGTAGTAATTTCTAAAATACGGCTGAAGATGGACTTTTATAAGTTCGAAACATGTCCCGTTGAATAACTACATCAATATTAAAGTTGTGGAGATGACTTTGACCTATCCTTCCTCCTTTGTTTTCTTTTTCCAAAAATTCATCTCATGTTCATGAATTTCCGAAAATGAATTCGATATTCTACGACTTTTCAAGCGGATAAAAAGAACTCTAGAAGAATCCCAATCCCGTACAATCCCAAGTATACGAAGGGACTTGATAAGATTTTCAAAGACTTAGGTTTTGAAAGCGTTTATCAGTCTGTGTCAAAATTAGGCAATTTATTAGGCAATCCGAAAGATAAAGTGGACACACTTGAAAAGTCGGGAATATACGAAATAAGTTGTAATGATTGTGATAAAACATATATAGGCCAAACCAGGCGACCCATTAAAACAAGGTTCAAAGAACACATAGCCCATTTAAAATATGGCAGGTTAGATAAATCTTGTGTAGCCGAACATATGTTCAATCACAATCATAACACACATATTACTAACCTCAAATTAGTTAAGCAAGTTAATAACATTAGAAAACTAGACGCATATGAAAGCTTAGAGATATTTAAGAATAGTAATAGAGTAATGAATAAGGATAATGGACCTATTCCATATAGCCCTCTATATAGTTTAGTAAAATAAAAATTTAAGATTAACATGTGAACTCAACCATGACAAACATCAACTTGACGGTTAGTATTTTTCACAGTTGGGTGAACATATACCTAGTATATAAGCAGCA